ATTAGTTAATTCCATGAAATTATGTTAATTTTTCTCGATTTCTGGTTTCCGTTTTTCGACAGAGATGGCGATTTTTTCACGATGGCCTCATTTTATTATTTCGAATACCGAAAAATTATCTGCACTTGTATTTTTATTATTTAGCTCATTTTGGTGGAACGAATTCAAAGTTGGCAATTTAATCTTTGAATCCTTGTAAAGTACATGACATTGGTAAACTTTGAAAGGCTGTAAAGTGTAAAAAATAACAGTAAGTGAGTATGCATTGCATATTTTTAGGACAATGTTTTCATTCGCGGGTAAACTTTTAAGAGCTCTCAAAAAAATGAACAATTCATACTAAATGACGCACAAGAAATTTTCTTTTGTCAAGATTTTTTAATCAATTTGCAGCTCTCAAGAGCTCTCAAGTTTTAAGATACAGGCCGATCTAAATATGTAAATAGGTACCTTTATGTATCTATCCTGCATAGTAAATTTCTCTCACGTGTCATCTGCCCTTGCAGAATTCAAAGCATCAGTTCGTGTTTTATTTACTTTCCTACAAAGTAGCCTTTTGAATATACTTCATATGTACATATGTACGTCAGTTTACTTCCGCTATTTGAGCAGTTTGCGCAATATAGTGCAGCTCCGACGCTCTTCAATTTTATAAAAATTAAATCACATCCAAATCGATTTGTATGCGGACGAGTACGTTGCAGTGATGTGCATAAATTTAATGAAATCTTTCTGTAAAGTGAAATATTTGCTACCTATGTATGTATGCACATTCATGTGTATTTACATAGAAAAAACAAGCGCGCACACGTGCATACATACGTACAATTATTTGCTCTTTCACAGCGTTGCTGATGCTTTTTTATCCGCTGCTATATGGTGCAAGTAATTTTTGCAAGCGTCATTGGAATGTGTTTTTTTTTAAATGAATTGCCGTTGAAATATTCAATAAATTGCTTACAAGCACACACATACATCTACAAAAATAGCCATGCTTGTGGAGGTGTACTGCTATACACGTGCTGAGTGTATGCGAGTAAATAAAAGCATTTGCAATTTTCGTAAATAAAATTACCCTGAAGCCGAAATGGTGCTGACTGATTGACCTAGTCAAGCGTTTATTTACTGTCCATCCTTGCATACTTATGTAAGCATACAAATTTCAAATGAATTTTTATTAAAAGCTTTTCAAGACAGAAATACTCTCGTATAGTGTCATTATATAATCATTATAATCAACCCTCAAAAAATTTCGATAAAAAATGAAATTTCGAAGAAAATGATTACTTTGCTGGCTGGCTGCAACAAAAATTGCAAAGTTGCATCTAAATTTTCAACTTTTTAATAAGATTTTCCAGGGTTTTGAGTATGCAGTTTGATAGTCCATTGAATTCTAGTACAATAAAGTACAAGTTTTAAATTGCTAAATAATCGCGTTAATTTTTGATAACTTTTCTTCGAACTGTATTAAAATTGTGGAATTTACTTTGTATAGAAGGAAATGCGTTAAAAAAAAACAAATTGGCAAAAGTTTACGAAATTGGAATTCAATGGGTTAGAAAACTGCATGCTCAAAAGTCTGATTAAAAAGTTTAAAATTTAAATGCAACTTTGTAATTTAAACTTGAGCATCTTAAAGATTTCCTAGTCATTTTTTGACAATAAATTTGAATTTCTCGGTTGAAAATCTACAAGAAAATTCCATAAAACTAAAAACCAAAAAGTATTAATTTTTTCGATATTCCATTTTTCAACGAAATTCCTTACTTTTATTTCTAAAATCCACAGAGGACATAATGCTCACATAACGGTTGTTTGTAATAGTCTAAAGGAATCGAGATATGTAGGTATCTCCCATGTAACGGTAGTTTGCAGAAATACATGACTACTGAAGCTATGGATAAGTTATATTTTCAGTTCACCGTTATTCAGCTTAAAAGAAAGAGTGGTTCAACTTAATCACGCATATCACTTTTCGATAGGCCATTTTTGTTAAAGCCTGTTCTATTTCAAAAAAAATCAAGCTGCTAATGAACAAATAAATAAAGAAGGAAGGTGGAGTGGTCAAATGAAAATGCACAAAGATGCTTTGTATGCAGAATGGGCAGGAAAGAATGTTGCGCATACGCCATGTACACCTGAGCAGCACTCTTTTCGGCTCATATTTCATACAAAAAATCCTTGCGCACTTTCAATTGACCATTCATTCCTTTCTTATCTACGCATCGATTTTATTTTTCATTGGTAGCATAATTTTTTCTTTTTAATTTTGCGAACTAGTAACATTCACCGAAAATTTGTAGAAAATCTTTCCTTGTGTTTTTCAGAAAAAAATCGAATGTAAATTTATTTAAAATGGCAATAATAAAAAAATAAAAATAAAAAACAATCAGCAAGTGATATTTTTAACTCTTTGATGCAGCTCTGCTCCAATTAAAATTCTTTGCCCCACTTTTTACTTACCACAATTCAATTTTGTTAAAAATAAATTCTTCATATCAAAAGCTTTCTTCAAATCCAACAACTCTTTATTAATACAAATGAATTTACTTTCGTTTGACAATAAAATTACAATTAAATAGATATTTAATTTAAGTACAAAATATAAAAATTTTTCTGCATTTTCAGCAAAGTTGATTAAGGAACGAGATAGCTAGTGAAATAATTTAGAGCAAGGCTTACGAAAATTTGTATAAAGCCGGCAACAATTGATACAACCGGTCTCTGAAATGTGAAAATGATGCGAAAGAATTTGTGTGCGTATAATTTTGTTCGAAACCAAAGATTTAGTGAAAAATTTCTTAATCTTAATTTTTTTTTTTATAAATTTTTTGCTCAAAATTTTAACTACGAAATTTGCTTTTTTTTTGCATTGTATTAATGTGATGTTACAAACAAGTGCTTGATTATGTTTTTGATGTTGATATGCGAGCGTGCGTATGTTTATATGTTTGTGTTGGTGTTTTAAATTTTTGAGAGTGATTTTTTTTTTGTGTGTGTGTGTGTGTGTCTGTGTTTCATATTAAAATGATAGGCATCCTCTACGAATCTTACGCGCCGCATTTTTCTACCGGTTTGTAGCAAAGCGCTTCAGCAATAAGCTTTTTAGTGGCTGATCATCATGGACTTCTTTACCTTTTTCTCGGTCTTCTCATGGGTGACGGTGACTTCCTCTGTTAAGAAATTAAAAACAAAGGCATTTAACGCCAATGAAAATAAAACAAAAAAAAAAAATCAATTAAAACACGCTCACCTTCGAACTTTTTAGGCAAACTCTTCACAGTCTCAATGGTGCGAATATTCTTCTCACCCGGCTCGATAATCTCCTCCTCATACTCTTCTACAATCTCTTCCTCACTCTCTTCGCCAGCTTGGCTCGCCACCGGATCGTAAACGGTCTTAACCGCCTTCTTCACAATACCCTCAGCGGTGACGGTGGTGTAGTGATATTCGGTGCCACCTTCGATTTTAATGGTCTCGACGGTGGTCACATCGCCGGGATTCTCAGATGGTACAATTTTCTTTGTGCCCGATTCGGATCTGAGCTTCTTCGTCGAGGTGACGTTCTTATGTTTCTCAGCATCTTTCAAAGTTTTCTTGTAAGCACGAATCTCTTCTTCAGTCAGCTCCGCCTCCTCTTCTTCGTAGACAGTCTTCGAAGTGGTAATAGTTTTGCCTGATTCCAATTTAGTAGAGTAAGTGTATTCCACGCCATGTGGCACACGCTTCGAAGTCACCGTAGTCGTATCATTCTCGATGAAGTCTGGTGGTGGTGGTGGGATGTTTGACTTGGTCTTCTTCTTCTTCTTGTCCTTGATCGCCTCAACACCACCGCTCGATGAGGTGATCTGCTTAATGTTCTGTTCTTGAACCGAATTTTTGCGTACAGTGCGGTTGTTCTCCGTTACCTCACTGCTCTGCGTAAAGCGACGCGACTCCTCCATAGTGGTTTGCTGTTTGAAGTTACCCTGCTGTTGATCGGTGCGTTGTACAATGCGGCGCGATTCGGTTGAATCAGTGGAGTCCACCGAAGACTTCTTCACCAAGGTCTTCCTCTTATTCTTATCCGCTGCAGGAGCGTTATCGGGTATTTCAGTAGGCACAGAGTCGAAGAAGGTTTTGGTGCGCGTGCTGCGTGTGCCATCCTCATTGACGATAGTGTACACCTCCTCGTAACCACCTTCGATCTCACGCGTCAACATGGTGGTCTTGCTGTCAATGCGGATCTCCTTGCCGAAACGCTTGCGAATTTCCAACTTACTTTGCACCTCACGCTTCCTATCCTCCTCGCTGACGGGCTTGGGATCCCAGAAAGTGCGTACAGAGGTCTTCAAAGTGCCATTTGGCTGAGGGGTGATGGTGCGTACTTCATAACCGCCATCGATAACTTTGTATTCGGTGCGGGCCTTGGTGACGGGATCGACCTCGACCTTACCGTCTTCGATGTCAGCAGAAGTCAAGAGTTCTGTGTTGGGTGGTGGTGCATGTGGAGCATTTTTTGTGGTGTTTTTTTTTGTTTGGTTGAGTTGTCGTGTGTGAAGAAAAGAAGTGAGTGTGAGTAAAAAATATTCGGTGGATTGTTTCTTGTGTGTTAGTTTGTAGTTTCGCGTAGTTAGTCGAATTATATTTGTTTAGTAATAAGCGTCTTATTCCGCTAATTGTAGTTAAGTAGCAAGTTTGCATATCAAAGCCTTAGTTTCGTTCAATAAAGCACTTTACGGCGAAGTCTGAGCACAGCAAACCCTCCCTCCCTTACCCGATTTATCGCTCTATTTACAAAGCGAAAAAGTGAATATGTATGCTTGTTTGTATATGTATTGTTTTTTTTTTTTTGAATTCATTAACAGCCCAATTCTGGCGACTATAGGGAAACTCACCACAGTTCGAAAAGTGAAAGTATTCCCTAAGAAAATTTTCAATTCTATCAAACTTTTTATCTTGAAATCTCTTTTCTGTATTTCGAAAGAGGAGGTCTTAGCGTCTTAAGTCTTCTAAAAATTAGGTATGATTAAGAAATACACAATATGAATGTATGAACATATTTTTCTTAAAAAACAAAAAAAAAATACAAAAAAAATATAGAAAATAAAGGATATTAAAAAAATATGTTTTTAACAATGAAAACTACAAATGAAAACAAAATAAGATTAAAAGAGAAAAAATAATAACTGAAACCAAGAACAGAATAAATTAGTACTTACAAAAGAAATAAAATTAAAAAACACAAAATCAGTTTCTGAGAACTAAATTAAATTTAAAAACAATTTTCTTTTCTTATCTAAAAATAAAAAACAAATAAACTTAAGAAGTAAAAACAAAAATCCTAAGCATTAAATGAAGAAAAAAATATTTTTTTTTTTATATTTAGAATACAAAAATCTACAAAAAAAGAAACTGAATTAAAAAGAGAAAACAAAATATTGAAAGAATAAGAAAAAATTAAATTAAATTAAAAACCCTGGTCATATATTTTTCTTTATAAACCGATAGAATCTTAAATTTTAATTCAAAAATAAAAAAAAACAAATAGCAAAATAAAATAAGTTTCCAAAAAATTAAATTTAACTTATATATATATTTAAAAAATCTGGAAAGTAAAATAAAATTAAATAAAAGAAAATTAAAAAAAGAAGAAAAAATTGTGTATGTATATTTTTCTAAAAATTAAATAAAATTAAAAAAAAAAATGTTTTCTTTTTAAAACTATTAAATCCAAAATTTAAATTAAAAAACAGCAAATTAATACAACATACTTTTCTTTTTAGAACAACAAAACCCTAAAAATGGAAAGAAAATTAAGCAAAGAACATATAATCAAATAAATTAAAGAAAATGAAATCCGCCTTCAGAGTTGACAAGGGAGCTTTTTCTTACATTACTTTCATGCCAGAATAAAGAAAACCTTTCAACCGATATTGCCAACTGTCTTTCAATTGCCTACAAAAACTTTCAAATATCTTAGCCAGAATTGCCCTGTAAGTCTTGCCCAGTTTGTATATAGATTTTTTATTTTTTTTTTGGGGTAAAAAAATTTCCAAAAACAACTATGAATTCGGTAATTCAAAGGGACTCTTCTTTTTTACTCATACATGTACTGGATGCGGCAGCCGCACGCCCGCCAGCTCTTCAAGAATGCAAGCGGGCAGCAGGCAACCGTAGCGCGTCACCAATTTGAGTAATTGTTATTTGGATTTACGGTTCGATTTGGTGGAAATATGCCTGGCGGGTACGGATGGAGCTTGCGACTGAAGTGAAGTATGTGGTTGTTGTTGTTGCTGCTGCTGTTGTTGTTGTTGCAACTGAGATTGTCGCAATGGACGTTGTGGCTGCTGTGTGTTCGGTTGTTGTTGTGGCATTTGTCTGCGTGGTTGTTGTTGTACCGGTTGCTGTTGCTGTTGTTGTGTCTGCAACGATGGTTGTGTCTGTATGGGTGGTTGTAAGGGCTGTTTTGTTAGTTTGGGACTTTGTTGGTTGTTGGGTTGTGTGACCTCTTTCTGTACTATTATTCCTTGTTGCTCTAGGAAGGTGTGTCTCGTTAAGGTTTGTTGTTGTGGTTGTGGTTGTGGTTTCTGTTGCTGTGGTTGTTGCTGTGGTAACTGCGACGGCTGCTGTATTTGTCTCTGTACCGGTCTTGGTGATGCCGTTCTCTTCAGCGCCCTTTGCACGTTAGTATTGTTATTGTTATTACTACTAATGTTATTGTTGTTGTTAGTAGCTGGCGATCTACTGCGTGCCACTGAAGCCGTGTTAGTACTCGCCGACACCGCCAACAATGGGCGCGGCTGTAGTTTTTTCTGCGTTTTGCTCTTCTAAAGCGGCAGCGCTTGCTTTTAATAAGCGATTAATGCGTTCTAAGCGTTCCGATTCGGTCTCCTCTGTGGGCGCATGACCGCCACCTATGTTTAAAGGGATAAAATTGTTAGGAGGCATTGGATTTTCAAAATGTTGTATAGCTGAAAATAAGAGAAATGGCAACCAAGAAAGTTACAAATGTTCTGTGCTGCTTCTTTGTAAAACATTTTCGTTTGAAAATGATTTGGTTTACTTGGTGATCGTTGCGATTGGTGGTTGGATGATCGATGAGCAAATGGCGATGACGAAATCTTAGCCTTAATAAGAGCGTTAAAAAACAGATGATACACTAAACATATTCAGAAATTATAAATAATATCAAAATATATTATAAATCAAAGAGTTTTGTACAAAGTGAAGTTTATACCACATATCATATAGTATGTATAGGTAAGAACGTACACATATGATGGACACGAGGACCAATACAAAAGTCATCAAATCTTATAAAGTAATACTTAAATTTTATTTTATTTTCTCAAGATTTTTGCAACAAATTTAAAAACTCAATCAAAGACAGAATAACATACTTATGTATATTCTGCTGTGCCTAAAGAAAATGCGACAACTTTAAAATTAATGTTTCCCTGATACGGAGGAGTATGAAAATCGTCGGCCTGCATAGGTCGTTGTAGATGTAGCAATGCATTGCATGAATTGGTGCAAACGAGAGAAAAAGTTATGTGAGTATCCTCTGCTTTACTTAGAAGTTGCTTGATCCAGTTATTGCATTACTATTTACTGAGTTGGCTACTTTCGAATGTCACCTGTCTTTGATTATCGTCTTTAGAACTGAGCCCAGTAGGGTTTTGGTAACGGCATACTTGAAAAGTTATTAAGATATATCTGCTTTTTTTGACGAAGTCTAAACATTATAAATATTAAAGGTGCATTAAAAATATGTTCTCAATGAGTGTTTTCCATTTCTTTTATATTTTCGAATACTGCGTTTATTCTGTTTATTACTTACAGCAACATTTGCCGCAACGTGTTCGCTAGAAAGCGCGTACAGGAGCAACTAACAATTGGCTCATATTTGCGACTTTTAACATAACCTTATATAATAATGATGGCATTTGTGGTATTTTTAAGACATTTTTAGGTTAAGTTTTGCATCGGAGACATATGTTAAAATAATGCCATTAATTCCATTTTTTTTGGAGTTGCTGTAAGTCAAAAACAGAAAAGATCTAACAACTATTTTTTATAAATATTTTTTTCAATAAATGAAGTTTTCGAAAATACAAACGAAATAGAAGACACTTATTTAGTACATATTTTTAATGCAACTTGAATATTTATAGTATTGAAATTTAAAAATTTATTTTTTTTTTCTAAATTATAAAAAATATATTTTTTTTAAAGCTCTAATGTCACTACGCTTACAAAAAACTTTCATCAGCTTTCGTCAAATACTTTAAGTGAAAATGAGTTTTGAAAAAAGATTGCTTAAAAATATATTTGCTTATAAAAAAATACTCAGAATCCCTTTCCAGTCTATAAACGTCTCTACTCACAAATTTTAACGCAAAAATTCGAACTTGACTGAAATCCGAGGTCCAGAAATTTTAGCCCATATACGAGCGATCCAAGATTCCCTTTGAAAGTATTCGCAACTTGCTTTAATAAGGAGGAAAGTAAGTTGTAGACATAGATACTAAAAGCACCAAAATTATTAGAAAATAGGCACACTTAATCACACAATATAGGTGCGTATAAGTGCCAAAAATTGACCGGTTGGTTAAAAAAATAGAATCGAACCAATAATCAGAGAATCCCCAAGCAGGATAACAAATGTCTGCCAAAAAATAAAAGTTTCAAAATTGAACTGATGTACATAAATTATATTTGCTAAACGCTGGTGATACATAAATACATATACGTATGTATGTACTAGGTGTTACACAAAACACAGGAAGAGTAATTTGTGCTGAAAATAAAGACAAACAAATTAATATACATAAAACATATAAAAAGTAAATAACATAAAACTATGTACATACATATGTACACAAAGTATTTATGTGTGTACTTATGTAGAAAAACTAATGAAATAAAAAACCACATGACTTTGATAAGTTTTGTTTATTTTGTAGTACAAATAAGTTTCATTCAAAAAATATAACATTTTTAATTATGCAATTTTTTTTATTATTTTTTTTTTTTCATTTGAACTTTTTTATTTAAGTAAAATATTGTTAGCTAGGAAAATGAAGATATGCGAGTGTTTATTATTTATATTTTAGGGAAATATGTACGTAGGCACGCCAAAAACACACACACACACGCACACATGTACATAGAATTTGAAACAAATAATTGAATGAAATTCGCAACTTTTATTAAAAATACAAAAGAAGACTTACAAAATAGTCAGTTTTATTTTTTATATTTATATTAAAGTATGACTTTTGAGAGCAACAAACAATTCACAATAGATGTTGAAAAAAAAATGCTCAAATAAATGTAACAAATATTTATGTAGATATGCAATTGATGAACTTGAAAAAAAAAAATCAAAAATCGTATGAATAAGTGATATAATAGATTAATAAATTGTGGTCGTTATATAACAATTGCAATGATATTAGTGCAGTGTATATGGCAAATATGTTTGTATGAGTATTTAAATTTATCTTAAGTGGTAAAAACTTGCAAGACATATTTTGGCATTAGCATTTAATATAAAAGAAAAATTAAAACGTATGTAAAAATTAATAAAGTTTATGTCCTAAAAAAAAAATACACTTTCCCTGTGTGTGTGTGTGTGTCTCTACAAATATCTATGTGTGTGTTTGCGTATGCTTTGTTGTGTGTGCAAACAATTTGTTCATTGTGCTTGTTTTTGGAGCAAAACTTTTTGCCTTACTTTAAATAAAGGATGCTTGTATTAATGTGTTCTTTCTATATATATATTTTTTTTCAATTAATGTTTCTTTGTATGAATATCATGTGGAGGACGTCTGTATTCTTTCAAATGTTAATGTTGTTTTTTCTGATATATAGTATATAGTTTTTTTTTTTTTAATTTTATAAACTTTTATGAAGTACCAGACTTGTCCTCCTCCTTTGGCGGCGATGCGCTCGGCTTCGATTCCAATGTTTGCGTTATTTTTTTCCAAATATTGTCAAAGGAATCTTTGCCCGCATAATCGATTTGTCCGGCCTCCCAGCATTGACGACGCATTAGCTGTTCGTAGGCTTCCTGTTCGGGAGTGCGTTGCTCGCCGAGGCGCAATTGTGATAGAGCGCCAGCCAAACCAGCCTGAAGAGTGGGCGAAAAATGGAAAATGTTAGTTTTTTTTTGGCAATTTAAAAGGTTTATGTAATTTCTAGGTTTTCTAGGTACTCGTATGTATTTACATATGTATATATTTACAACTTTTGGTCAAAAAATAATTGCCAGCTTGTTCCAAAAATTAAAAGTATATATTAAGCATAGATGTAGTTATCGTTATTTTTATAAATCGGCAACTACTTTTTGACCAATCCATGCTATGTACATTTAATATTAAACATAAAACAATGTGCAAATTATATAAAACATATTCACGATCTTGGTTAGTATTCAGGCAACATAGAACAATTAGCTTCAAACATAAACGTGCGGCACAAACATTTAGGAATAGACTAAACGTATTTTTTTTGTAAGTACATATGTTTGTTTTAGTGTATTTTTTTTAACTTTTATCTATAAGTGGTTTTTATTATTCGATTTGATCAATTATTTTAAGTTCCCTTAACACCAAAGCGGTCCGTCTCATTCACCTTGGGAAGATTACCCTGGTTGATTAGGTGTGTTTTATTTCTAGAAAAAAATCTTTGTACGAAACCTACTTAAGTGCGAAAATTGGTTCTTGAAATATGTAAACGAAATGTGAACCAAAAATGAAAATATATATTATTATAATAAGTAACTATGTGAATATGTAGGCACAACATGGCTAGGACTATGCTATCTCATCATAAAGCTTAACTAATTAATAGGTTACATGTGCAAAAATTTAGCGCAAGTCCAGTATGCTAATATGGAATTTCTTAACATGCATTTCGGACTCATTCACCAATGCGTACTTATGTATAGACCCAAAGCCAGCAGCTGATTATTGCATATTCCAATTGAATACCCTATTGAGAGTAGACCTAAGACTATGTCCTAATAAAATAAATCTACCATAAAGGATGAGAAAACTCGAATCCGTTTTCTAAACCGCAGACACATCCTGAAATTGCTATGCTCAGCGTTCATAACAATAGCATAGAAAATTATCATTATTTCGACGCTTAAGGTCAAGCGTTTACGGCAAAAATTCTTTGTAATTAAGGCAATTGCTATGCGATGAACTTTGTCATTATCGTGGAAATAGGGCCAAAGCTTCACCAAAAATCTCTAACGAATTTTCTCGTGGGCCTAAAAATATGCAACTCTTTCCCAAGTAATTTTTTTTCTTATACTAGGTTCACATATAAGTAGATTATCCTCATTTTCGAGCTTAACACCCTATTCTGTAATTATAACAAGAGATTAGCCATATAAAATTCGTCCCTTGTTAATCTGTAATTATAAAATAATCTCAGATTAAACCGATACATTTTCGGTGAGGAGAGAGGAGAAATGCCAAATGTAAAAGTAAACAAAAATGTACGCAAGCAAGTAAAAGAGGTTTGTAAAGGTATTTTTAATAAAATGTTAAGTTAAAATATATTTATATTGCTTATTATAGCAGAAAAACGTGATCACGGTGGCACAGAGAAGAAACATAACTTTTAGTTGAGATGTGAGTATAATAAGCACAACAAATTTGACGGCTAATAATCTGAGATTTGCCTGTGTAAACGGGGTGATTAAAAAACGAGCTTTGATTGAGATAATACTGATATGTGAACATAGTTTTAGGCTTCTATTCAATTACAGATTTTTCATGACCACACTTGAGCGTAGCGATTTCTTCCACATTCATTTTTAAGAATCCGAAAAGTTTCCACGGCCAAAAATCTGACAGTAGTGGTATTCTGAGTACGAAATTTAGCTCAGCTATTACTGGTAATTTTTAAATGCTCACTTTGGCTAGATATTGTGATAAGCCCAAGTGTTGTTTCCTACCAAGTTTCTGCATAAAAGTTACCAAAGCGCTTTAATAACCCATATGAATATACAACCTTAAATAAATAGATTAATTCTGCGACCGTTTAAGCTACCTTTTACAAAAGCAAATCCGTAAAGGATTAAACTGGCCGGCCATTTATTATCTGGAAAATATGGAGATTTAGACCATTTCCTTTGATCGCAATTCAAATTCTACTGAGGTGTAATGCAGGCTTTTTTACTTGCTGAAAAATGCTCAACTGGCCTTATTTTGAAACTGTAGCCAATATCTGGTCTTTTTGGGGATGGTCATCAATCAACTCTGTTTAAAGTGATACTTTCTGGTTGCAAAAGGGAATTTACTATCACCGATGGAATAAACTATCGTAGCACCATTAAATTAGAAGCAGAAACCTATGCACGAAAGTAAGCCAGTCTTATATGAAGCCCAAGACTTAAAGACCTTACTTGTGTAAATAAATAAGTATGTACAGAAATAAAAATTTCGCATGTATTGATGTAGATGAAGTGTGTTCGAAAACATAAACAAATGAAATAATGTGACGAGAACACGATGTATTACAAAAATATGTATGAGCTAAGTGAGATGACGTTGAACTATAAAAGTTATATGAGCTTTTATGACAATCCAAATTACTTAGAATGCAACATTTGACAAGATCACTGTGGACATGACTAATGACTTGACAAGCTTTATGACAATGACATGACTATTGGCTTTAAAATTTATATGACAATGACATGACTACTGACGATGACAATGACGTGGAGATTGACAATGACACGACCTATGACATCACTAATGACGAAATGCAAAATGATTCAGAATACAATTTTTGATAACTTTTAATGGCATGACATGATCTTTGACATAAGACGGCATAAAACAAATGAAAGTATGATTTTTTGTATATGTAAAACTAAATAAATTATGCGATTTATGGCCCGTTTGTGCTCTAGGTCTAAGTTGCAAAAGTCCCGAAGTATGCAATTAAAATCCACCTAAGCCAAAGATTATGACATGCTCATGTAATTTGTTTTTTTTTTTCTAATACAACTACACAAAATATCTTTTTTCCGAATCTACTGAAAACCCCATTTATGACTCTACTACGAAATACTTTACTTTTTCATACAATCGTGTCACGTCACTTTACCTCATCGTTTTTATTTTCATTTTTGTCTTTGTTTTTGTTTTCTCTTTCAGTTTCATTGTCTTCCTCACTACGGCATGCTTGCTTATCTGTACTACTACTACCGCTAACGGTATTTATATTCGCTGTAGCATCTGTATTCCTTGATGGCGTTACAGATGTTAAGTCTTTTGGTTTTTTGGCAGTATTCTCATTATGAACTTCAGCTTCATAATTTTTTTTCTTTTGATTCTCTGCTGGCATTTCAACATTCTCATTGGCATCGAAATTGCTAGTTGAAGAATTTGTACTTGGTGCTGGGCACTCATATTGCATATGGAATTCATGAGATCCATGGCTGTTAAATTGTTCTATTGGCTTTTCTTGTTGTTCATGGTGATAGTCTTGTTGTTCTTGTTGTTGCTGTGGTTGTGTGTCTTCAACCCAAGCCTCTTGTTGGTCATAATGAGCCTCATTGTATTCCTGTGGCCACTCAACTCTCAGTCCCTCATCACTATGCTGCTGTTCTACATCGCTGCTTTGCCATTCAGGCGTGGGTGCTGGCTCTGGTGCTGATCGCTGCCACTCTTGCTCGTCATGGTTTTGTTGTGATTGCTCACTTTGCGTATTTGCTTCATTATTTTGCTCACTGTCACTATGATCTCTGGCTAAGTTCTCATAGTAATCTTCCCAAGGATCACGAAACGCTTTGATCTTACCGAATTCATAAGAACGAGGCGGTGATGGTGGCGAATGCTCGTGTTCTTGGTGATGATGGTGTTCTTGGTGATGGTGATGATGCTCATATTCGTAGTGATGATGGTAGTGATCGTATTGTTGTTGTTTTGCTGGTTGTTGTTGTTGATAATGATAGTAATAATGCTCAATAGCGCCACACTGCATAGGCGTAGCATTACGTTTGCGTTCGTTTTTTTTTTTTCATTGTATTTGTGGTCGGTATTTATATGCAATATTATTGTCGAGTATTTTATTTGAGAGCAAGCCATGCCACGGTACATTATTTTTATATTTTTAGCATATGCCATTAACATTATTAAAGCGTGAATGCATTTCAAATAAAATTTTTTAATATTTTTAAATCAAATATCCAATTTTGGAGTAAATTTTAATTTGTTTTGGGGATTTTTGTTTGCCATGTTTAGTATTAGAAAAATATAAAAAATAAATTTTCAGCTAAAGTTAGTACTAAGTAGTTAATAGTTTAAATAAGATAAGAAAAATTATGATTACAATGTTATAACTAAACTAGCAACAACATGCAGAAATGCATTTAAATGCTTTTTTTCTTACATGTAAACACATGTTTATGACTAAATACAATTAGCACAGGGCAAGCGATGTTTCACCTGAATATGAAGCTGTACTTGTATTAAAAATTTTAATTTGAATAACGTCGGCTGTCACCTTCAGTTATAGGTATTTTATTCTATCTACGGGTTTTGATTGACGTAACTTTGTAGTTTGTAGTTTCTTGTTTTTTGCAAATAACCTAACAAGATTCTAAAATTGTTGTATGTTTCCTTTGAGCTATGGAAATACAGGTTCCCTCTTGGAAAACCAACTACTTTAAAAGCAATTTAATAAATAATTTCCTCACAAATACGATATCCCAGGAGTAAGTCATAATTTAAACTACAGTGAAACCTCGATATATCGAAGTCGGAAAATTTTTATCTAAGGCGACAAACGATCAAAAATGGGCGAGGCAGTTTTAGGACTAAAGTTATCAAAACCCAAATTTTATTATAGATTTCGGCAAAACTCAACTTCGAGAGAGCGCAATTTTTTTTTAGCAGAGGAAAGTAAAATTTTTAGTTATTTGAAAAAACTTTTGTATGCTAAAATATGTACACTAGACAACATAACCAAAAAAGAGTTGTGGTTTTTCCGCCGGGATTACAAAATTATATTTGAAGACGTCCACCAAAATATTACGGAAAAATATTAAGATTCACGTGAGCTGGACCGATTGGGAAATACCTCCCCAAATGGAGTTTTTTATGAATAATAATAGTTTCTTAAACGACTTTTTGAAAAAATCCCCTCAGACGACAAAACAGATTAAGCTCAAAAAATCTACATAAAAAATATTTAAAAATCTATCAACGGAATCGTAATAATGAGATTTTTGATGCTGTTTTTTTTTTAACTTTAAACTTTTTAAAACTATTCTGATTTAGACTTATGGGGTCTCAAAAGAAAGGTATTTTCCCACTATTTTATTTCCGTGCAAAAACCAACAAATCTTAATTGAACTTGGAATGACGCTCGTTCATCCCACCTTTCTCTTTCATCCTTTCAATGAGTTTATTAGCAAAGAAATAAAAAAATACCTTTCCAATGATACCTCACAAGTCTAAAGCGGAATAGTTTAGGTTCAGTTATTCAAGTTTTTCCTATACCAATCTTTGAAAAAAGTTAAAAAAACAGCATCAAAAATCTCATTATTATGATTCCGTTGAAAAATTTTTTTAAATTTATTTAAAATATTTTCATGCTAGTTTTTTAAGCTTAAACCGTTTTGTCATTTAAGGGGATTTTTTCCAAAAAAAAATCTTTAAGAAACTATTTTTATTCATAAAAAAAACTCCATAATAGACTTTGTAATTCCAATGAAAACACAGTACCGTTTTCTATTTTTGTATGGGTGATGCAGTCTAACGTACTGGAGAGGAAGTAACCCGACCCTGAACTTCAAATGGTAGCCTTCAAACTTTACTGCATAGCTGCGTTTTGTTAGATGTTCAAAAACATTATTACCATTGTCCCAGCTTCAATAAGTTTGAAGATATGAACGTTACACTAAAGGACTATTTTCGAAAATGGACTAATAAATTTGAAATTGTAGATTTTATTATAAATAACCATCAGCTCAGCCCAAAAAAAAAGCTGCAGAAATCAAGCAGGCGGATACAAAACGATATAGCCAAATTTTTCTAAAGACTTCCCCTTCAACTTTTTCATTGGCTTTAGAATAAACAGATGGAAATCCATGTCGTATGGAGCAGGAGATGAAGTCTACTATAAAGAGTTGGCGTTTAGGTAGCCATTGGATTTCTTTATAAAAAGTGAGCTTAATTAAACCACAACTCGATTTTCGGTACAAATCATCAGCTTAAGCTCATTTCTTTTCAGTGCAAAATATAATCTAAGCCTAAGTCGAATTAATGGGAAAAAAATATCTCAAAAATATTTCCAATTATCCATGAAATTTTCTTGTTTTAGAGCGTTGCTTACTTAATAAAACAAAATATTTGCTAACAGCGGGGCCTTTATATTCGTTTCTGTCCAAAAATTTTCCTAGCAATTATACATAAGTAGGTAAATAAGAATATCTATAAACAAACATATGCATATCCACATACATATGTATTTTATCCTTAATCTATTTTGCAGTCATTGTATAAATAAACATCTCTGTATGTATATGTAGTCGCTTTTTTGCCTTGGCAATCCGCCAAAATCTTGCTAGAATTATCTTACTTAAATGCATATGGAAAACAGCTAGAAGAAGATCGACAATTTTCCAAATCAACATCAAATTTTGAAATAAAAAATTTGTTATGAAGTGATTGGTCCAATTATGCGTGGAAAATGCTTTGGGTGTGGCGGCCATGACTTGTTTTTAGGCTATTGCCAACGAAAATTAGACAATCACACCTACGTATTAGCACATATGCATGTATGTGTGGGGCACTTGGTAATTTGTAACGGGTATATAGACATTCTATGAAGCAAAAAATTAGCAGAAATGCATTTGTCACTGCAGAATGGACGTTCCATTAATGTTGGTGAAAATCCACAAACATTAATGCGAATGTTTTACTAAAATCATTATTTGTAGCCTCTTTTCTATTTTTTTTCGAAAGAGTACCAACTTGAAATAAATTCTGTTTGTGCACTATTTTCGATTGTTTGCCTATTCGAATGATGCGCTCATTGAAAATAAATATTTAAATTTCGAAATCAAATATTTATGCTAATCACTATGGTCACAAAAGCTGGATATTTTTCAAAAAGTGGAGGGCAAGAATTGCCACATAAATAAAAAAAATGAGAAACAAATATAAAGCAATGAAAGCAAACAATTATTGCAATTATTTGTGTATTCAATAGCAAAATATTGGCAACGCATTAAATTGTTTACACACAAAACTAAAAACAGAAAAAAATAAATAAATAAACTAAAAATTTTAATTGAAGAAAAGCAAACAGCTTTTGACCTCATTGTGCGAATGAATGTACATAGATATGTACTTATGTATATTTTTAGTGCAACACGCTTACAGAATCGAAAGCAAATCATTAGCTATGTGTGCGCCGATCTGAGCTATTTAGTGAGGAGTCCAATGATGTACAAAGTGTTGACATCTATTTACTCTAAAAGTAATGAAAAAGGTTCGCACAGACAAATATTTGCTTAAAAGTCAATAACAAATTTTAATATTTAGCACTAACACTAGATAAAACCTAAAAAAAATTCCATTATTTTTTATTTGGCTTTTTGTAAACAATTTTGTCAGCATTAAACTTCTTTTATTTTCCCAAATAATTGGTTGTGTTCGCCGTTACAATATTTTTTTTTTAATATTTTTTTAAAGTGCAAATCCGAGACTAATATACAATGCTAAATACCCTTAGAACTTTTTTATAGGGAGATAAACGGTCAGATCGCTAAAACCACAGCCTTTGGTAGCTTACAACCCCAGACATTTTGGTACAAGTTAAAATCTACCTAGCCAAATTCACCCCTACCGTAACTAAAGTGTCTCTCGTATGCAAAGGTTGACTCATCCAAAACCTCTCTTCCTATGGCCCGACCCCGCCAAAACAGCCCTTTACCAGGGTTCACCGTTAATTGAGCTCTCTAACAACGATTTAAAGCTTAAGTGAGGGATCTGGACAGAGATAAGTAGGCGCTAAAACAACTACTCTTCCTAATAATAGAAAAGAGAAGAATGGAAATGTTACAATTTATGAAACAATTATTCGAGGATTGGTTAATGATTTAGTCGTCTAGGTTATTTAAAGAGTGGTGTTGTCCCTATGGAGTTAAATAAAACTAAAGGTCGAATTAAGTATACTATGTGCTTATTTATGGCTTCCATGCAGTGTTCTAGGATCTGGTAACTTTGGTAATGACACCTTAATTTTTATTCAATTCAACTTTACGTAATCTGAAATATTCCACTAAGCGAAACTAGTCGAAATTTTATCCAACCAGAAAATGTTTAAATATGTATTCTGTCAGATGCTACGGGTATTTCATACCCCAGAGTTATCTGGTAGGTTCACAAGCTGATACTGACCTCGCGGCCTCAACACCAGTGCTGAATTAGTGAGGCTAAATGCTGGAGTATTCGAGTATTGGAACACTAGTCATTATCGTCAGTTACAGTTTTGAAGTATTTAAGGACTTTGTTCACCTAGGATCCAACATTAAGACCACCCATAACACTGTTCGGCAAAATCAACTTTTTTTCTGGGTATTGGACCAAACCAATTTTTTTTTAAGATTGAGTCATAGGTAAAACAAGGATTTCTATGTTTTTCGAAGTTAGCCTCCGAAATCTAGATATGGGCCTTCAAAGTTCGAAATAGGATCTTTGGTAAAAAATTATATTTAAATATTGCATGTAAATAACTAAATAACTTACTCTCAACAAAAAAAAAAATAAACAAAAACAATTTACTCAATATTTCTTGGCATCGAAAAATATTATTGATATTGAAATTATTTACAACGGAAAAATGCATACCCGCTACCTTTCTATTCTAGTTTATATACAAATGCATATTGACTTGAGTAAACATAAAAATTTGCTGTACAACATTCAATTATAAAGCGATCAAGTGGATTGCTTTCTATTCTAAAAACTCTATATATTTCTAGGTATGTCTATTAGTTCAATAAAATTTAAAAAAAAGATCGCATTGACTTACATATCTTACCACCACAGCTTCACATTCACTACTAAATCCTTGCGCAGACTTGTAAGGGAATTTCGAAAATGCGTTTTTAGACAATTATTTCAGAATCGGGCAACAAATTCAAACATAAAAATTAATTGAATTAATAAATTAAGTAATTAGTGTAGTAGAAATAAATTTAAAAAAACTGGCAAAAACAGCTGCTTTTAAAATATTAGAAAAATGCGTTGAACGCTAGGCAAACATAAATAAAAATTAAAATATTATTAAATTTAGCCTAAACTTAAGTTAACGTATGTATGTATATGTGTAGTTTTTTCAAAATACTCACCATATTATCGGACAAGTTCTGATGAACATTATCACAGAAGATACTCCACCAGAGCTGTATCAAATCGGCGGCATGCGCATATTCTGTGGGCGTGAGTGCAGTGCGATTCTCGGAATTGAATTGTATAAGCCATGGCTTCAATTTGCCCGCAAAATGCAAAATCTTAATCTTATCTCTGAACCTAAAATGGCGTTAAGGAAGAAGAAAAAATTTCATTCAAAACTATTTTCATAGCAAAAAAAACGAAACACTGCATACTGTTTGAATGCGGGCAAATAGCAGTAGGAAGCGAATGCGGCCACATTGTAGATGAATGGCAAATGCTTCTTAATATCACTGTGCGCCCAATCGCCAAAGTACAAATTCAATAAGCCCTGATCGCCGCCATCGAAACTGCCATTTTGCACAGCGAATTCTGTGATTTTGCCGAATGTCTCCAGGCTGGGACGATACACGAACACACCCGAGTTGAAGCAGTCGGGCCAGCTAACATCTGGCGCGGCCGACAGTTCCTCGCGCTCGAACAGCTCATCGCTGTTTTGCAGCACCTAAATGGGGGAAAGGGAAGTGGAAAAGTAGATGCATTTAAAAGTTTATTTTTCATTGCATAGCTCTCTCTCTCGCTCTCTCTCTCTGAGACGCACCAGTGTATCGGCATCGAGGAAAACGCATTTTTCGAATTGCACCAAACGCCAGCAGTGCAACTTTGTGAATGTGACACCCAATTCGGGACGTGCGAGCAGCGCTAAATTGGCGGCATCTTGTGAGTCCAAAACATTCACCTCCTGCACAACATTGTATACATCCTGTAGGCGCTGGCGCATTGCCTCTGACACGGCAGGCGTCACCAAGACGGCCAACTGATGAGCGGTACCGGTGCGGCGCAGCGAATGTGCCAACACCAAAGCACCCAGCGAGTACGTGTCATTCGTTGTCAGCGTCACCCACGCAAATTCTAAAAACAAAGAATGAGAAAAGCGCACAATTAGGGTACTGCGAGGTAAATGTGGGCATACAACATATACATACATACATACATACATATATACATATGTACATATGTATGTATAAAATTACTAAGAAAATGCTCGCGGCAGATATTTCAAGCTTCA